GAAATGATGATGAAGTCCATCATCAATATCATTAACACTCCATTCATCCTTATATTAGTTTCTTGTGGATTTTTTGTTGTTGTTGTTGTTGGTTTTAGTCATTATCCAATTAGCTGTTCTTTTCTAGAGAATGAAGGAAGAAAGGAAAGGGCATAAACTTTATCACATGTGTAATAAATTTAACCAATAAGCACACTGAACTATTGATGAACATGAGACTGGACTCCTAATTCAGTTCTTCTGGAAGCTGAACTCCTTGGAGGCACAGATGAAAGTCCAAATTCCTCACTTTGGGGAAATGACAGGACCACTTGTCAGGAGTGGCTACCCTGGTAGGTGGGATAATGATGAACATCAGCAGTGGGGAGCTTTTGAAGGTGACATGTCAGTGTTCTTTGAATGTCTCCAAACCTTTACTTTCATCAGAGTCACTGTGCCTCCTTGCCAATTAAAACTCCACATAAATGTGTTTTAAAAACAACTGAAATGTTGGCCTTCCGTGAATGCTCAAATGGTAGTAACAACTTTTCTTTAAATAGCTATTCTGTTCTTTGCCTCTCTCAGCCCCTAGAGTGAATGCAGATCACTTTCTAAGCTCTTAGACAGGAAAGGAACACTCACAAGATGGGAAAAGATACCTGCGGGGAGGGAACAAACGGGAAAGCGAGAAAACAGCAGGAAAAGCTGCCTGAAGAGGTTTCACTACATCGAAAACTATAAAGTCAGTGAGAAGTTGATCTTTCATTATTGTAACCAGCTGAGAAAATTCTGCCTCTAGCATCTGCTACTAAGGGTGTGAAAGAGAGGAGAGAAGACTCATTTTGCCAGACTTAGATTCCACTCAGAGAGGATGAGTCCTAACGTTAGAAGTAAAAAAATAGAGATTTGTGAGATTGGAAATTCAATTAGCTTCAACATAGCGTGATAACTTTCTAATTGAGTTCTTTTTTTCTTTTCCTTTCCTTTCCCTACTCCCTCCTCTTTCAAAACATTACAAAGATCACCTTAATACAAAGTTCTTTATATTTCAAATATAAATTTCTCCTCCAGCTGAGAACTAATATGCATTTCTTAAGCAGGAACTATGGCTATATTGGCGCTTAACATACTTCTTTACTTATAAGAAGAAGCAGTTGCTATCCGTGTATATTTAAAGAAGTACCGTATTTCAATACTGTGATATTAAAAGAGGAAATAATTATTCAGAAAAGGCTTATTAGAAGGGGTGGGCAACATATTTTTAATTTAAATGGTGAGCGATATATAGGATGTAAATTGTTGATATAATGGAAGATTTTACATAAATGTGACTTTTACAGCAATGCTCAGGATGAGAGGTATGGAACAATTATGGAAAAATAAAACAATTATCTGGACTAAGAAAACAACAGTCGAAATAGATTTAGAAAAATGAAATAACAGACATCGAAACATACTTGAGAAAACATTTAATAACAACACTTCAAACATTTTATATTTAGTCTATAGTAAGTCCTTTTACATAACAGAAGGCAACACATTTTCTTTTTAAAGCTGTAGATGTTAGAAATCCAAATTCCACAGGACTTCTCATCTGTATTTAATGCAATCATTGTAATGTTTACTATGTCACAGGTATATTTTATCTTGAATAACTGGTGATATGAACTAGGAACTGTAGTTAACACTAGCTATGATATTAAATTAAATTATAATCCAAGGTGGTACAGAAGGTTAATGCACAGCACTGTGAAGCTTTTTGTAACCACTGCAGCATGGGCCAGGGGACTGACCCACTTGGCATGGCAGACCTCTCCTGTCTCACCCGCTGGTCTCCTCAGTAGTTTATTTCATCAATCTGCCTCTTCTGTTCCCCCACTCTGTCTCTGGTGAATCCTCTCACTCCCCCATCTCTGGCCTTTACCCCAGTTCTTGTATGCATAAATAAATTTTTGAAAAAAAAAAACAAGTTAAATAACTCGATTAATAAATAAATTATAATACATAATTAGCCAAGTCCCCCAAATCACCCCTAGTTAAAGATGCTAAGAGAAAGTAGGGGCATGAATATATATTTGTTGCCCCCATCTACTTCCCTTAAATTCATGACACAGTGGTATGAATCACATCTTGAAGTCATGTTGATAGATATCTTTTTTTTTTTTCTGTTCTGGGCTACATTTCTACATATGCGGCATTCATTCACCTGTTAGATAAAGTTGCACTCATAATTTTGCTTATCTTCTCAAAACCATCTTTTCTTAACTAATTCCTCCTGGCATTGTGAATAAGATCATTTATTTTCATTTATTCTCAGATTGTTTAGGGTCTTTTTATGTATAAATAGGCATATGTAGAACTATGCATGTATTAACATGGAAAACAAAAAATATATTTAGAGTTAGAATATGAAGTTTATGCACAGAAATTAAATCATGAATAAGAATCATTTTAAGGAATTTCTCAAAGTTTCTTTTAAATTGCTATCCACATGTAGATACAGACAATTTTATATAATGCAATGCTCTCTGGTGATATTTTAAACTTTAATCCAATATATATTGCTTGTAAATAATAAGCATTCATTGTTTAAAAAATGATTTTTTAAAGATGTATTTATTTATGCATACAACAACTAGGGTCAGATCACATGTTTGAGGCATGGGTTGAGAGGTTTTACCAGAGACAAAGAATGGGGAATAGAACAGGCAGACTGACTGAAATACACTGCTGAGGAGAGCAATGTGCGAGACAGGATAGATCTAATACATCTTGTGGGTCAGCTCCCTGGCTGGGGATCAAAAACTCTTACTGTAATGGCTATGGATAGTGTCCTAGTGCTGCACCTTAACCATTATGCCAACAAAGAGGGCCCAAAAAGTGATTTTTGGTGTCAAATATAACCTTCCTTTCTATCCCAGCTCCTGCATATTAAGCCAATTACAAGAAAGCATTCAATCATAGGGATTCTGATCGACTTCTCTTAGTCTTAATAACTGAGTTATAGGTGCTCTGATTAACTATAAACACTTGACTTTCGAGATTTTTTTTTTTTTTATAAAATTTACTTCTTTCCAGAAAGACTATTTTTGAGAATAGCCTAGGGTGATTAATGTCAAGCTTTCAAAATTTATGGCACCTGTGCCATTACTTCTATAATGACTGCTATTTAATACAGTTTCTAGACTGGTCACTGCAACTTTTCTGCACTGCCCACCTCAATTCTACAGGAGAGTTCATTTTATTGTAATATACCTTAGTTTATTTTGACAATGTCAATAATATTTCAATAAACTAAGATGTTTCATCTGGCATTTATATCTCTTCCCCAGTCTTGCCCAAAGACTTTATGTTTCTAGTGCTAGTATACTCTATTCTTACTTGCAAATTCTTATCTCTTAAGATATTGCTGTTACTTAAATCAGGAAATACAGCTCTACAATTTTCATTATTTGATCTCTTCTACTTAGAATTGTCTTCTTCCCTCCCTGCAATAATGTAGGCCTATCAAAGACAGGGCCTTCTTTCAGGTAAGTAAGTAAGTAGAGCTCCCATCTTTAGACCACCATTCTCCAGAAGACAGTTTCTGTGCATATGTGGTAGATACATCTCATTAGGTACTTAATAAGTACTTCACTGTATTGTTACATTTCATCGTTGTACCTTGTTCTCAAAAAAGAAAATAGGGTGGCCCTCTATGAGGCATCCCTCAGCCCCTCCAGCTCCAGTTTGATCCCCAGCCAGGAAGTTGACCCATATAACACAACAGACTTCTCCTGACCCGCCCGCTGCTCCCCTCAGCAGTGTACTTCGTCGATCTGCCTGTTCTACTCCCGGCTCTGTCTCTGGTGAATCCTCTCACCCTCTGCATCTCTGGCTTCTACCCCAGTTCTGTATGAATGAATAAATAAGTCTTTAAAAAAAAATTTCCCTCAAGACTTGTTGGATAATAAAATGTATTTGATGCATTCCATTTAGCCACTCTATTCCTGAATGATAACTTACGCCCATGTGCTATTTAACTCCCTTTTATATATGTGATCACAAGCTCAATGCCAAAACTCTACATTTTACTCCATGGATAGCTGCACATCACCTAACATTTGGACATTCATCCAGAGATTTGTTGACATACTTTCTTTATCATGTACAAATTTGTTAGTGATATTTCCTAAGAAATATTATGACCAAATTTGATCAGGAGTTGACAAATACTGAAGAAACCCTAATTTGCTAAAATAAAATAAGTAATGTTTTATTAAATAAAGATGTTATAAATGTTTAATTAGCCTCATTATGTTAAATGTTACAGGATTGAAGTGCAACTATAATATTTAAAATCTAAAAAAGGTATGCATTCTAAAAAAGAGGAAACAAGCAGATTTAAAATAAAATAATAAAGCAGTTTAAATCATTCTCTTTGTAATACTGGTGAGCTCTATGTGTCTGCATTTACAAGTATTCAGCATTATAATTAATGGAAATCATTGATAATTTTTCTAATAAAATATTTTATTTATAATAGGCAAACTTTCATGAGTGGAATCCCTAGACACATAATCTTTAGGTAGACTACCAGTTTAACTTTAAAATATTTACTTTTTTTAGATTTATTTATTTGTGCATACAGAACTGGGGTACAGGCCAGAGACGTGGAGGGTGAGAGGATTCACCAGGGACAGAGTGGGGAGCAGAACAGGCAGATAGACGAAGTACACTGCTGAGGGGAGCAGCGGGCGGGTCAGGAGAGGTCTGCCACGCCATGTGGTCACCTCCTGGGCAGGCGGGAATCGAACTCATGCGGAAGCGGCTTTAGATTCTCAGTGCTGTGCTTTAACCCGCCGCGCCACCAGGGAGGGCCTACCAGTTTAACTTTAGATGCTTGCTTTCTGCCTATAAAATACAGTAAGAAGAAAGAAATAAAACCCCCACCTAGTCAAATTGGAAAACAAAGCAAGGCAGGCCCAAACAAGATGACTATCATTTATAAATTCTCATCCATATAAATTGCCTTCTTGCAGGAAACAGACCTTATCCTGACTTTTAATATTTCAATGCACCGATCTTGGTGGATGGAGAATGGACCAGGATGTAAGGTGACATCAGTGACACCAGCTCCAGATTGGGCCCCAGAAGACCATCGGTACATCACTGTCTCAGGATGTTTTCTGGAGTACCAGTATGTAGAAGTGGCTCATAGTTCCCTCCAGATTGTCCTCGCAGTAAGTGTTGATAGCCAAACTCCTAGCACTTATGGAATTGTTTTCTTTCTGCACAAATTGAGTGCACACAAATGGAATCTGTTGGCTAAAGTGTAACTATTTTCTTTGTCCTTATTAATGCCACCTTTAATAGGAATTTGTTAGGTTCAAAGAGACCAGGCTTATTTGGACTGATTGTGTCCATTTTCTTTAGCAATCTGGAAACAGAATGGTGTCTTTAGCATTTTGTGTAGGAAATTCAGTGAACGTTTGATCTTTGAATTTTGTTAGGCTTTTCCAAGGTTTTCAGGGGGAAGTTCAGAGACTGTTTACAATATCCTCATACATACAAGTTTATAATATTTCAGTAATAGCTGTTTTCTCCCCCAGCATTTCTTTCTAGCTATGCTAGGGGAGTCCCAGGTGGTCCTGAGGAATTTCTTTGGTATTTGCTATTTCTTCTTCCTAGGTTCCATCAAGATATCATCCAGTATCTTTCCTTATCAACCCTCCTTTTAAAAGAAAATTCAGCTTATCTATAAATTCCAATTCTAGATTATTGTGCCTTTTTTTCACAATATTACACTAATAAAGAACCCTCCTTCTAGTAGGAAGCGTGAGAAGCATAAATATCTCCCTGTGTTTGTATAGTTGTAGAACATTATATATAAATATGCCTGTTATATAAAACATTGTTTTATGTTATGTTGTTATCACAAAGAGATAAATAAATACATACCTTTCTCAAGAGGAACTTTAGCTCAGGTAAAATACCTATTTTGTAGGCTTATAAAGTCAACTTTATTATCCATCACCATTATTCATTATAGAACCTATATGTTCACATCTACATGTGCTTTTCTTAGAGACTCCATTTTCAGGTCCGCAGTTGATGTGCATATACTTAAAATTATTAACATCAGATAACACAAGTACAGTCTGCTTTTTTACCTCTTTTTCTTCAGGTAATTACTTTGAGAATGATACTAGCTCACAGTTAAATAACAAGACATAACAGGTGCTAGATAGAATGGTACCAGTTAGTTCTCATAAAATTGTCCTGAAATTAAGAAAGAACATGTGAGTGTGATATTAGATGATATCATTAACATATAGTCAAGCTGGATTTTTGTTGTTGTTGTTGTTTTTATTTATTCATACAAAAACTGGGTTGTAGGATACCGTTACACAGGGAGGGAGGGTGAGAGGACTCACCAGAGACAGAGTGGGGAGCAGAGCAAAACAGGCAGATCCAATGAAATACACTGCTGAGGGGAGTGGTGGGTAAGACAAGAGAGGTCTGCTGTGCCATGTGTCTGATAAACTCCCAAGAGTGAACTCATACCATAGTGGCTGGAGATAGCTTGATAGGGCTGAGACTTTAACCCCTGTGCCACCAGGGAGGCCCTAGTCATGAGAATGATTTAAATGAGGACTATGTGTGTATGTGTGCACATGTATGTAGTTATACATGTGTGTATAACACAAATTATATAGACTAAATGCTTTGCAAATATGTGGCTAAAAATATAAAAAGTTATTCCTTTGTGTATTGGCAGAAGAATTTTTACCAACCCTTGTCTCTAAGGAAACAAAGCTAGTGAACAGACACTGTCTAAATCATCCTGAGTTGCTGTGTCAGAGGGCAGGAGAGATTTGGCACAGAAGTGCCCCTGTTGGGAAGAGAAACTCACTGTCCACATTTTAATGTCCAGAACTAGTCACACAGCCACACTCAGTCACAAAATGGAGAGGAAGGACCAAGACCTGTAAATATGTGCAGGTCAGCATAAGTTATTTCTGTAATACTTGAATTCGGTTCTTAACTGAGCAGAGTGATCCCCCTTCAAAATGTCCAACTGAGTGAGTGTTACATCATACTTATTTGATTTCAGATACATTTGCATGTAAGAATAAAGAACCATTTTCAAGTTCATATTCTTAATATTGCATACATGTAAAGCTAATACCTTTCATTTTTTTCTCATACAATATTTCAAGCAATTGGCCTTCAAAATGTTTGATTTTACCAAGAGAGTAAACGAGATATTTCTTAATAAGCAAACCCTTCTAAAATAGTTTTAAATGCTTAAATTGTTCATTTTTATTAACCTGAAGTTCAATATTAGATTTTATGATGGAAATAGCCATGGGAAAAGTAAAATATTACTGGAATTTGAGACAGATGATATATATTCATATAAACCTGTTAAGAGTTTTAGATAAATCTAAATTTTAGATAATTCTAACTTTTTACTGTAACCAGATATTTTGGAATATTTTCATTCATATGTCAAAGATGATGTAAAGATGACACTTATGTGCATGAATAGTTATTGGTGACTAATTTAGAGATGTCATTGAATTAATGTGTGTATTATCAACTATATTCACATTTTTATGAAATCCCACATAACATTATGGCACATAGGTAATTTGCTAAAAATACTTGAATGCATATAAGCATATGTTGAGGCTAATATTGCCATAGAAGAAATATTTTTACATAAGTAAAAACCATCTGTAAAGACAAAGTGGTTAGAGTGCAAAGATGGATGGCGTGTTCCTGAGAACAGATGTGACCAATATTTCAAGCTACTGGCTTTTGCTTTGCCTGTCTACATCACCCCCAATAGAGTGGAGAAATTGTTTGAGCAAGTCATCAGAGGATTTGGCATCTTTGCCTCTTCCCTTTCCACCTGTTCTTCCTTCCAGGGAGTACTTTTCTTTTACAACGCCGACTGTGTATCACCTGCAAGGTAGCAGCAGCATACCCAAGCCATCATCTAGAGAAGTTTCCACACAATTTCTGCTGTTGACTTGCTCCTGTCTAGCCAGCCTTGGACCAAAAACATCTGCTGTATAGAAAATTTAGCAAATGCTAACTGGAGATTTAAGGTATAAACCAAAGTGGGGCTGAACTTAATTGAATAATTTTCTCCATTTAGTTATTGGCAGCCCTGTCACTAAGTTTCCTTATCACCACTCTCATCACATCTGTGATGATTATGGTATAAAATAGTATCCTGAGTCTCTGTTCCATCTCTTTTCCTGTTACCCAAATCATCGTCCAGTATTCAGTTCCATCTGGTTCAATGAGTGTATCCTTTGTACTTGTCCAAGATCCTTGGCCAGAGAATGTCACAGACAAAAATGCGGCAGGATTCTTCAGGACCATCCCAGATATACACAGGCATGTTGGGGGCTGTGGTTTGTACATTTGCGGTGTGATTTTGGCTGCTTAGTTCCATCCTGCTTTTTTGTAAAGTCAATTAAACTTTCACTCTTCTCATTGTTTCACCATTCTTTGAAGCTGCCCTCTTTTCCTGTGTATTTGTCTTAAATTTACTTTTATAAACTGCTGATCTCCTAGCTACTGCTCCTGATTAACTCCAAATCTCTACATCTCTTTTTCTCCACCTTCACTCAGCCTTTCTTTCTCAGATTTCTGACCCCTGGCAAGCCTGTCACCCTGTTGCTCGGTTTTCTGCCAATCAACTCCTGGCTGATTTTGAAATTAGCATTCACAAAGCCCACATTTGCATCACACACACATAAGCTATCTCCTATCTACAGTCAAAGGAAGATGAGTATAATATCCACATAATTGGGAAGAGGGGCTATTAATCACACAGCCTCCAACTGAGCAGAAAGGACTGCCAGAACCCCATAATGACGAGCCAGGTGTGAGATTTCAAGCTTTCTCTTCTTCCAGCAGCATCTTCTCTAGTTAGTATCAGATACCACATTCAAAAGGAATGCAGGTGTGCTTGGTTTTAATAATGCCAAAAATAAATAAATAATCTACACTTAACAAAAATAGATAAAATATGTATGCAGAGAGTCAGATCAACTAAAAAGATGGTGTTGTTCATATTACAAAAAAAAAATCTGATTCCTCAAACAATGTGTGATTGCTACAGCTGCTTGAATTACAAAAATATGTTCATAGGAATTAACTCTTTTGATTTCTGTAACAACTTTGAAAGTACCAGAACAGGCACCTTTTCAAGATGCCTCAGCTAGTAAATAGGTTGGATGGACATACTGCACTGAGTTTTTTTCTGGCATCAAAGGTAGAAAATAGTCATCGACCAACCCACCAGCAACAGCTGATGGGTAATGGACTCGTGAAACGCTAAAATTCACAGCTCTTCAGTGATAAATAGTGCTATGATTGACTAGTTGCTTTCACAGGTGAGGGAAATGGAGGTGTGTGTGTCTGTGTATGTGTCATGTAATCATAACGCTTCATTTCCTGTAGCCAACTCCACAGAAAGGGAGGATGCTTTACACAGAAATGTAACTATATGAAGCTATTAATGAGAACATTTGTCATAATAACAGTAATTTTACATTTTAAAATATATGCAAAAAGAAATAATTCACTGAAGATAAATACTCAATCTCTCTTTCCTCAATTGTCTCCAGCGATGATTATATCTAAACTTAGTATAAGCTTTTCTAACCCAAATTGCTGGGTTTTGCTTTCCTTTATCTCTGTTATTTCAGACAAACGCCTAAGTCCATAGTAGATTGGCTGCTGTTTCTTATGGAAGATTTTGAATAAAATTTAAATAAGCTTAAAATTACTTGCTGCAACTATCAAAATGAATTTAAAAACCATATACAAATTAACAGGAGTCATAGAAGACTCACAAAGAGTCTAACAGCTAGTATACTTTTCATAGCTCAAAATAAGTTCCCTGTCAAGTTTGTCCTTCAACTATGTTCCTGTTCTTTGTAGCATATATGAAATGATGGAAGTAATTGCTTAACAGATTATAGGGAAAAAATTAAAGATAAAGATTATTTCCAGTTATTCCCACTTAGTGTTATATATAAGTTTTTCCATTTGTTTTAATAACATTTCACCATTGAGGTGAAATGTTCAAAACTGAATAAGTTTTGTGCAAGTTGATTTTGGGGTTGTGTTGGGAATGACATGGGAATTTTGTTAGAGCTGAAGAAGGCCATGGGCCACCCATGACAGCAGATGGCCTTATTTCTCACAAGGTGGT